ATTTAAGGTGCTATCCTTTCATTCACTTATCAATTGCAATGCTTCTACTGCCCACAATTAAATCACAGATCTTAGTGTCATGCAGGGGCGGACTGACCATTTGGAAACTCGGGCACTGCCCGAGAGCAAGGGGGTCAGTAGGGGGCCCCATGAGATGCCCCTGATACCTTTTTCATAGGCTTTTTTGAGTTTGGGTAAGGACACAGGGGCCCCATGATCCCCTATTGCCCAGGGGCCCCATGAGTTGTCAGTCCGCCCCTGGTGTCATGTGTCCATGTCAGTGGGTGAGGCTGGTGCAGAAGTCAAGGCTGGTGTCAGTGGGTGAGGCTGGTGCAGAAGTCAAGGCTGGTGTCAGTGGGTGAGGCTGGTGCAGAAGTCAAGGCTGGTGTCAGTGGGTGAGGCTGGTGCAGAAGTCAAGGCTGGTGTCAGTGGGTGAGGCTGGTGCAGAAGTCAAGGCTGGTGTCAGTGGGTGAGGCTGGTGCAGAAGTCAAGGCTGGTGTCAGTGGGTGAGGCTGGTGCAGAAGTCAAGGCTGGTGTCAGTGGGTGAGTCTGGTGCAGAAGTCAAGACTGCATACAACTTGGGCCTAGGTTCCAAGGGGCTGCAAAGAGATCGATATATAAAGGATAATACCATATGGTGTCTGCATTTCAGTGTTGTTTTTAACCTTAAAACTGTTTTGTACCAGGTCATCTTTATTTTGTTCTGCTTTATTGTGGGGGAACCCACAGAACCACTGTGCTCTTTCTACTCACGTATACAGAATTTGGTAAGACAGAAGCATAACCTTACTATGACAGCTTGCTCCCAACAACACCCAACAAATAAGTATATACAAGTACTAATTTTTAGGTGACAAAATAGCACTTTACTGTATATATAACACTGTAAGGGGATTTTCATATACATTCTCAAAACAGAACACTGCAACAGTTTTCTCAGTTTGGCCCCTTTCACACGGGCATTTTTAATCTGTCCATGTACGGATGTCATCTGTTTACATCCGTTAATATCCACATCCATTAACATCCTTTTTTTTTTAACAGAAGAAAACCCTATTTTTCTTTTGTTTATAAAAACACAGAACGAACAAACAATGGATGTAAACGGACAAAAAACAGATGGAAACGAGTGAAAATGGGTGAAAACAGATGTAAGTGGACAAAAAACAGATGTATATGGATGAAAATGGATGTATAAAACGGGTGTATGTAAGTGGATGAAAAACGCATGAAAAATGGATGTAAACTGATGAAAAACTAATATGAACTGATGAAAACTGATGTAAACTGTTGTAAAACTGATCAAAACTGAAAAAAAAAAACAGAACGCCCGTGCGAAAGGGGCCTTAGGGTTTTTTCTTACAGTAGGTAAAAAAAAACAATATTATTTGTTCAGGAGAAATTTGTGATTTTTTTTTTTTTGCTTATTTACCAGATTAATCTGTTATGTTTGTGAATGTAAAAGCTCACACTTAATCTTAGTCGCTAATTCACACCCTTCGCATTTCTGTGTAATGCTGATGTATAACATTATTTTTTGAAGTGTGAATTCCAGAACAATAAGGAAATGCTTTTAAAAATTTATTCTTGTATAAACACTCTTTGGACACTTTGTCAAATTGCTGAGAATTATCCTTTTTGGTGAGACTCATAATCACAAAAGTACAGGTGTACCTCGGTTTATGAATTTAATGCGTTCTCCTGGACGTTTCGTATTGCCAAAAATTTGTAAACCTAAATGCGGTTTCCCATAGGAATACCAATTATCCGTTGTGGAGGTCAGAAAAAAGTTAAAAAAAAAAGTCTCAGCTGTTCAAAACTTTTTATAAACTTTAACCACTTCTGGACCGGCCGTGCTATATAAACGGCCAGACGGTGGCAATACAGGGTCGGGTGGCCATTTATAAACGGCCCTCCCCGCACCCTGCTTGTGCGCGCTCCCTGGGAGCGTGCAGCACCGCGATCCGCTGCCCGCTGTGTCCTCCGGACACAGTGAAAACACCGATCGTCGGACGGGACCTCTGTACGAGGTCCCGATCATGTGATCACTAATTGGCCAATCAGTGATCACATGCAAAGTAGTAAGCAAGATGTCACTTGTGACATCATTGCTTACTACGTGTGAAATCTGTGAATGATCAAGAGGTCACATGGTACACGGCCATCCACAACAGCCTTGTACCATGTGACAAGCTGTGACCAATCACAGCTCACTCAGTACTTCTCAATGACTGCAAGAATGCAGACAGAGAGAAAGAGAAATGATTTTTTTTTACATCCTATATGGGTGTAAAAGCAATCAAAAAAAAAAAAATCTTCATCACCCCCCACAAGTAGTACAGTGTCACCATGGTGACACTGTACTGCTAGGGTGACAGTATGTAAAAATAAAAAATAATATAAAAAATTAAAATAAAAATGTAAAAAAAAAAATGTTTAAAAATTATAATTTTTGGTTATAAACTAATTTGGATTTATTTGTTTTTACTAAAAAGATAACGGAATAAATTTTGGCCAAGATTTATGATTAAATATTATTTATTTGCAAAATTGTATAAAAAAAACACTTCAAAATTTTTGGACTTTTTCATTTACATAGCAGCTTTTTCAAAAAAAAATAAAAATCCCAGCGGTGAATAAATACCACCAAAATAAAGCTTTATCTGTCTCAAAAAAATGGTAAAAAATTAATTTGAGTACAGTGTTGCATGACCGCGCAATTGTCATTCAAAGTGTGATAGCGCTGAAAGCTGAAAATTGCCCTGGACAGGAAGGGGGTAAAAGTGTCCGGAGAGGCAGTGGTTAAAGGCACGGGGCTGGCGTTATAAATCACCCAGGTGCAATGCATCCTGGGGAAACTTGCTTCGTATTGCGAAAAAAATTTGTAAAACCGACACATTCGTAAACCGAAAATTACGTTAACCTGAGGCGTACATAAACCGAGGTACACCTGTAGTATTAAATTGTTCATTTTAGTACTCTTGTGTGTAACATTTCCTGTTAAATCTTGGTTGATCGCAGGTGTACAATGGTTACAGGACACAATCACCTCTCTTGGAACAGTTTTTGTGGCAATATCGCTCCAGATACAGTTATCAGATCTTCTGGAAACACCATGAGAGTTTTATTTGTCAGCGATGGGTCTGTTTCCAATGGAGGTTTCAAGGCAACGTTCACTTCAATGGAAGACGCAGGTAGAGGATTAGTTTGACTGTAAATAATATACATAGAATATACGTAGAATTTACATATAAATTACATATACATATACATATACATATAATTTTGCCTGCCAAATGATTTGCATTTTTACCCATTTAGTCATGCGACCCATGCAGGCCATAGACGGTTCGTTTATCGGCCGAATTTTCATCCGCACAAAAAAATCTGTCGATATTCACGCCGTTAGTGGGGCCAGCCCGTTGGCCATTTTTTTTGCGGATCTTCTCGTTTATTTTTATCGGTCATGCTGGAAAACTGCCGTTTTTTTGTGGACATTGGTGGCAGCATTGGCAACGGGGCCAACCGATTTTTCGTTTATCGGCCAACAATTCAGCCGATCGGCCGAAACGGCCCATCTATGGCCTGCATTACACAGTCCCATCACATAGCTCAGCCACAAAGATGATACCATTTACTCTGATACAGTTAAAGTGTAAGGAAAGGCTAAGTCAAAAAAAGCATTTAAAGGGTAAGTTCACCTTTTGGACAAAAATAATAAATGCAGGTAAAAAAATGTGCATTTATTGTTTTTGTGCAAAGGAGCCTGGAAAGCATTGCATCAGATCGCTGATCAGTAGATTGCTGATGCTATCAAAATATCCGTTTGCCGTACGGGATGTACGGGATGTACGGTCCAGCAGATATACTGACAGGAAGCTTCAATGAACTACGACGGCGCTCCACAGCGCTTTGGTAGTTCATTGAAAACTACAAGCCCACAGCTGCTAAGGCTGCTGGGACTTGCAGTTCATTCATTCACAAGTCCGGGAATGAATGACGAGGCCGTGTGGGCGAGCACTGTTTTCAAATTTGACAGTACGGGGAAACTTCTCATATTATCTGTCGGGGGGGGGGGGAGTGCAGCTGCAGCTATGGGTACATGTTCCACCCTAAAAATGGGTGGAAAATGTAACATGTTATTAAAGGTAAACTTATCCTTTAAATGTGCACTCTCCTTTTTTTCTCCATTGCTCTTTATATATTTTAAAATAAATTGCAATGGAAATACGTTTTTTTTTTTTTACATTATTTTCCTATGCATTTACATAAGTGAAAAGCTCTGATCTCGCAAACATTCTGGTGTGGCTGGTGCAGTTGGTGGGGGGTTACTCTCTCCCTTCTTCAAACAACAGCTAGAGCATTAAATCCCAGTGGGTAACGTCATTGGTCTATGGCAGTGATGGCGAACCTTTTTGAGCCCGAGTGCCCAAACTGCAACACAAAACCAACTTTTTTATTTCAAAGTGCCAACACTGGAATTAATCACTTGCCTACCGGGCACTTCTACCCCCTTCCTGCCCAGGACAATTTTCAGCTTTCAGTGCTGTTGCACTTAACAAAGACAATTGTGCGGTCATGCAACACTGTAACCATATGCAATTTTTATCATTTTTTCACACAAATAGAGCTTTTTTTTGGTGGTATTTAATCACCACTGGGTGTTTTATTTTTTGCACTATAAATGAAAAAAGAGCAAAAAATTAAAAACATAAAAGGTTTCCTTTGCTTCTGTTCTAAAATTTTGCAAACAGGTAATATTTCTTCTTTGATGTGCATTGGTGAGGCTGCACTGATAGGCAGCACTGATGGGCATTGATGAGGCGGCACAGATAGGTAGCACTGATGGGGCGGCACTGGTGAGCATTGATGAGGAGGCTCTGATGATGCACTGATATGCAGGAAATGATGGGCACTGATAAGCGGCACTGACAGCACCAACTGGAGGCACTGACAGACGGCACTGACCGGCGGCACTGCTGGGCATCATTGATGGGTGGCACTGATGGGCAGCACTAATGAGGTGTCACAGATAGGTGGCACTGATAGGCGACACTGATAATGGTACTGATAGACAGCACTGATAGGTGGCACTGACTGACATCACTGCTGGGCACTGACTGGGCACAACCGCTGGGCACTGACTGGTGGCACTGACTGGCAGCACTGCTGGGCTGCACTGATGGGCACTGGTGGGTGGCACAGGTGGGCACTGGTGGGTGCATTGCTGGGCACAGGTGGGCGCACTGCTGGGCACACGTGGGTGCATTGCTGGGCACAGGTGGGCGCACTGTTGGGCACAGGTGGGTGCATTGCTGGGCACAGGTGGGCGCACTGCTGGGCATAGGTGGGCGCATTGCTGGGCACAGGTGGGCGCACTGCTGGGCACACGTGGGTGCATTGCTGGGCACAGGTGGGCGCACTGCTGGGCATAAGGTGGGCGCATTGCTGGGCACAAGTGGGCGGAACTTGTGTGTGGCACAGGTGGGCACCGATCATCAGGGCACTGATGATCAGTAACCCTGATGATCGGTGCCGATCCCTGTTCTGACAACTGCTGGTTTTCGGCAGTACTTTCCTCACGATCTGACAGCGTGAGGAAAGTGCAGCCGAGAACCGGCATTTGCATTTCCCGGTGATCAGCGTGTCATTGGACACGGCTGATCACGTGGTAAAAGGCCGCTGTGATTGGCCTTTTACCATGTCACGGACACAGCGATCACGGAGATCGCCCGGTGCGCGCCCCCGGAGGTGCGCAGGAGAGCGCGTTCTCTTCCTCTCTTCCTCCTGGCGTGCCCACTGAGATGGCTCTGCGTGCCATAGGTTTGCCATCACTGGTCTATGGCATTCATCCTCATTGTTGGCCTCCCTCCGTATTACACAGAAGAACCGAAACTTTGTACACCTTTCTGGCCTCTAGTACTGCCCCTCCCTCTCCCAGTCTCAAAGCTGAACTAATCAATGCAAATACTTACCTCTGCTTCAATGATGAGACATCTGTGAGGCCCTGTGCTGGTGCAGACATCTTCTCCCCATCTTTTTCTCAGTGCTAGTAAGAACTAGTTGCATTTAAACTTGGCAGAGCAATAAAAATGGTACATTCATTCTCAGGGAGGTTTTAGTGCCAAAATACAAATGCTAATTAAAGCGGTTGTAAATGTTTTTTTTTCTAAAATAATAATTGTTATACTTACCTGCTCTGTGCAATGATATTGCACAGAGCGACCCCAAACCTCCTCTTCTGGGGTTCCACACCATGGCTCTGTGCTCCTCCTTTTTCCTGTGTGCCACCATAGGAAGCTGTCTTCTCAGGGGCGGACTGACCATTTGGAAACTTGGGCACTGCCCAAGGGCCCGGGGTCAGTAGGGGGCCCCATGAGATGCCACTGGTACCTTTTTTCATAGGCTTTTTTGAGTTTGGGCAAGGACACAGGGGCCCCATGATCTCCTATTGCCCGGGGGCCCCATGAGTTGTCAGTCCGCCCCTGTACAGTCTTCTATTGGTGCACACGTGCAGGCTCGCTCCTGAGCCAGGTTGTATATGTCTGTAAACGCACAGAGAGCAGCTCCCTCCTCCCAAGATTTGATTGACAGAAGCAGGAGCCACTGCTCTCACTGAGTCCTGTGAGGAGAGAGAGAGACCAGTGCTTCTGCAGATGGGCACAGCGCTGGATTGAGAGAGGGCTCAGGTAAATATTATTGGAGCTGAGGGGGAGATACAGCAACTGGGACATTTTTTTATCTTAAAGCGTTACTACAACCCACAACAGTAAAGTCAGTTTGTTAAAACAGTAAAGCATGCTTGTTTATACTCACCTTAGGGGTAATCCTCTGCATTGTGTAAAAAGTCTGTTTGATCCTGTCTTCTCTGATTCTCCCCTTCTTCCACAGTCTGCAGTCCATCTGCTGATAGTACAGAGCCCTAGGAGGCACTCTGCACATGCTCAGTTTGGTGTGTGTATTGCTAGTTTTTTATGTTTTGGGAGGGTGCATGTGATCAGCACAGGGTCAATCAGTGCTGTCCAGACAGGGTCAGAGGCCCTGCAGCCTCATAAGACAATCAGAGGAGAATGAAAACTCCTCCTATAAGCGTTAACCAGTGCTTGGCTGGACACTGATAGAAGTTACGAGACTGCTCTAACTGCTGATGAGAAAAGGTATTTAGCAGTTTATATTTACTAAAATAATTGCATTTCCATGTTCTGTGTATTGTGGGAGACCAGATATAGTGAATGCAGGGTCTGGGGTTTAGTAACACTTTAAATGGAGGCAATGCATTAAGGTAAAACATGTTGTGCCTTTAGAACCACTGTAAAATACTGACTTAAACCTGTGACCTTTTTCTAATCCTTTTAAGTGTTACTAAAGCCATGATCCTACATTCACTATATCTCAACTTCCACAGTCCTCAGAACCATGGAAATGCAACTATTTTACAATGCTGTTTGTCCCTGTGCTGATCACATGCACCCTCCCAAAGAAAAAAAAAACCCTCTAGCAATACACACTAAACTGAGCATGTGCAGCGTGACCCCTAGAGCTCTGTACTTTCAGCAGATGGATTGGGGACAGTAGAAGAAGGGGAGGATCAGAGAAGACAGGATCAAACAGCCTTTTTACACAATGTGGAGGATTAACCCTTTAAGTTCCACAGTGAGTATAACAAGCATGCTTTACTGCATCTATAGATTGATTTTACTGTTGTGAGTTTAGTAACACTTTAAAGTATATCTAAAGCCAAACTTGATTTTTTTTTTTTTTTTTTCCGTTTTGGTTAGAGTTGGCAAGGCTTAAAACATCTGTTTAGTCATAGACACCATGTTATTTTGTGCTACACATGCTTGGATTTTTGTTAATTACCACATGCATCTGTAAGGCTTTCGTTTGCTGTTTGTGTTCCAATGGGATAATTTAAAGGATAAGTTCACTTTTTCCCAAAAAAATAATAAATGCACATTTTTTTTGGCAGGGACTTGTGGTTTGTCATTCACAGAACTATGTAAATGAATAACATGACTGGTGGGTGGAGCCCCACACAGTCACATTTCTTAATAAATTGTGACAGCTTGTGGGGGGAGAAGATTCCCCACTAGCTGTCACAACAGGTGATCGGGGGGGGGGGGGGTTGAGGGCTGGTGTTACAATAATGTGTTACTTGCTACACCCTGAATATGTGTGTAACAAATAACATGTTATCAAAAGTGTACTTATCCTTTAACCTTCCCTTCCCATTCTTTAGGCATAACAGGAAGTGCAAAGAAATCTCTCCAAACTGAAGAAAAAATCCCCTTTTGGGCTTTCATAACCGAGCTAGGGTGTCTCTTAGAAGATTTCATCTCTTACTTACTTCCAGTATATTTTGAATTTGAATTTTCCAATCAGGCACAGAGACAATAACAACAGCCTGACAAAAGTTCCAACTTCACTTTTCCCAGGTGAATATTCTCAGCAGTCGAAAAAGCAATGGGAAGTTTTATGGTTATCAACATAGCAGAAAGTGTGGAGAAAGTTTCTAGTAGAGAAACCTGTTCCTTGCCTAAGAGGGGATTTCCATGGACTTGCTCTTGTTTCTCTGGGTCAGGAAGTTAAGTAAAGTCTCCGCAAAGGGATTCAGGCAGTGAAAGAAAATTAAAATTTTATTTTTAACAATTCACTACTGTATCCAAAACTTTAGATATACTTATTGTGGCTTTAGATATATTGTAACTGGTTATTTTTGCAGCAGGAGTAAAAGAACTCCAAACACCCAGTGGCGTCGCTGGAATCCATGTTTGATCTCTGCCAATAAAGCGGAGCTCCACCCAAAAGGGGACGTTCCGCTTTAAGGACTGCTCCACTGCTTCCCATTAAGGATTGGCACCTTTGGGGGGTGAGGGAGGGAGTGGGTACCCGAACTTGACAGGTACCCACTCCCACTTCCGGTCCGATCGCCTAAGCGATCGGAAGCGGAAGGTGTCCTCCCTCCCTGTAGTCTTTTGGGACACATGACAGGTCCCAGAAGAGTTCAGGACCATTCATGAAGCGTAGCGCTACTTGCACATGCGCAGTGGGTTACCCGGCTGTGAAGCCGCAAGCTGTCACAGCCGGGTGCCCACACTGAAGATGCCGACCTCTTGGAATACAAGACAGCAGCTGAAACGGGCTGCGGGGGACACACCACGGGACCGAGGGACAGGTAAGTGGCTGTTTTTTAAAAGTCAGCAGCTACAGTTTTTGTAGCTGCTGACTTTTATTTTTTGACAGCGTGAGTGGAACTCCGCTTTAAGCCCTATTGAGTGAAAGGCAACAGCAGGGGTGGTCCTAGATTGGGGATCGCCATTGTAGCTATTGTGGTTGTTTCATACAATAAACGTGGATTCCAGTGATGCCACCAGTGCATGGTGGTCTTTTATTCCTGCTCTGGCTTCATGAGTTTGGACGGCTAAGTTTGATGTCCAGCACCCAGCGCTCTCATGGTAGCGGGGAGGAGCAGCTTGGAACGGAGAGGAATCTGTTATGGTTATATTTGAAATTTTAACAAACTTCTGATTTTAAAGTTGTAGTCAGTCTTTTCTATTAGATCTGTGCTGCTGTTAAAAATAAGATATATAGCCATAAAGTTAGGGCTTCGCAAAAATTATATTCAAATTTAGACCAATAAACAGAGTTGATCAGCGTGTGTGGGCACGTCTGAAATCTGTTCAGTTTTTAGAATTATAAATGTTGGATGGAATGTGATAATGGCATAATAATAATGAGATTAAATCATTTTGTCTTGAAGTCTGTGGAGGACCACTAATGAAACCTGTAGGAGGTAACTTTACATCTCCTGGATACAATCATGTCAATAATTACACCAAAAACTTAAACTGCGAGTGGGTCATTCAGAACCACAATGCCTATAACTCCACTACGTACATCGAGCTCAAGAGACTGCGACTGGAAACGCACCCAAATTGTTTGAATGACTTTGTGGAGATCCGATTAGGTGAGAATTTTCTTTTTTTCAGCTACATTTGTGTTATTTTACCTGGTAATCTTGCAATAACACTTCCTGAGTGGGTACATCACTCCTCTACTGTATCTATGGAAGGATCCATGGTTGTCATCCTAATGTGCGCTCCTGCTATGGACTACAAACATCTCCACATCTGAAGTATCTCTTCATCTCCATTACGTGGGGGAAAGGAAAATGATGATTTACAGAAGATAGCTAGTAAGGAAAATATTCTTCGTCATCTCACAGGAAGTGACCAGTGACACTTCATTTCCAGCAATATCAACTTCTTTTGCTGAAAATGTTGCTAGCTTGGAAAAAAAAAAGTAAACTAATGCAGCTACCACACCTAAGGACTGTAAGCTACAATATATTGCATTTTTGTTCTTGGGTTTAGTTATTCTTTAAATTGCTTCTTATTAATTATGCAATGGGTAGGGGC